CCATTGATCCAGCACCACCTGCTAAATACGTTTATAAAACTTGAACCTTCATCTGGAACAAAACAAAGTGTTTTGATTTATTGTGCAGTCGTGTTGCACTTCAGCCTCTAGAGTCCAAAATGAGCATTACGACAACAAACATTGTTTTTCCCAGGTGAAAGAAAAACTTTATGATCCTGGTCAGAAAATATCTGTCTCTCGGAGCCTCTGTAGAAACACTTTCTTATCAGGCACAATTTAAAATGAATAACTTTCTGAATGGTTCATCAATGGTTTACTCTTGTTTTACAGATCAGCTCATTATTAGTTAGAAAGTTAGTTACAAACATGATTTTAAATAAGAAGTGAGACGAGGGTCAAACTGTCAGAGACGTGTCCCTGAGACACAGCTTGATCTTATTGATTAATCATTAATAACTAATAACTGATCAGTAAAGGACCTGGTTTGTAATGAAGCATTAATGACGGTTTGTAAATTGTGCTGAAAGAAAGTTGTTTTGATGTGATGAGTAATTATCTCTTAATTAAGTACCTCATGTGGTCGGCCGAGTGTCGCCCCCTGCTGGCTGTTTAGTGAAGCTGGTGAATCTGTGGTTTCAGATGGAGGTGATCGTAGGCGACTTTGGGATCGTGGTGGTTCCTCGCGACGGAGCCGACACCGAGAGGATAATGAACCACTCGTCTGTTCTCCGCAGATACAAGGTGGGAGCAGGAGCAGGGTTCAGCCTGAAGGGGGAGCTGTTCCTCCTCCGTTGTCTCATCTTTGTGCTGCTCTGGTTTCAGGACAACATCATCGTGGTGAAGGACGACATGAACCACCCGCTGTCCATCGTCAGCTCCACCAAGAGCAGGTAGAGATTACACTCACACTGTGGAGTAACTGAGTACTCTTACTCCACTACATTTGTCCAACAGTTCCCTTTAGGAGACAAAGACGTTATTTAAATATAAAACTTGGTTTTCATTCACCAGAACTCAAGGTTGTTTCCCTGTTGCTATGGTTACACCTGGCGGAGTTTCCAGCCTCTGGATCAGAGACGTGTGTGAACTGATCTGGTTTCAGTTTGAAAACTCTGGTTTTGTGTTTTAGTCTGAACACAAACTGAGACTTTAGAAAACGATGCAGATCCTCCTTCAGAGGATTTTCTGTAACTTAGCAACCAACTGCAGAGACGACAACCTACTTCCTGTTTTCATCACATGATCAGTGTATGTTAATGGTCATGTGATGTGTGTTTTCAGGTTTAAGTGTGGACACAGTGATGTCAAGTATAACATGACTCCTCCCCCACAGACTGGCGCTGCAGCACGGTGACGGACACGTCGTGGATTATCTGACTCAGCCCGTCATCGACTACATCCTGCAGAGTCAGCTGTACATCACCGCCTCGGGATAGAGACACCGACCTGAACTGCATGACAACATGAAGAGAGAGAGTGTGTGTGTGTGTGTGTGTGTGGGGGGGGGGTCCATCCATCTACAAGCTATAT